GCCAAGTTTATGCAGCATGCGTATCAAAAATTCTAAAACCCTGGGTGTTATAAAATCACCAGGACAACTGCCAAATGCCAGTTTCAAGGCATCTGTAAGAGGCTAAGACAAAATTCAGGGGAATTTGGGATTCCAGTGCATGGTAAACTGCACTAGAATAAATGGCACAACAGATTAATATGTCATGTCTCTCAAATGAAGGCATCTTTTTTAATAGGGGAGAGACCCAGCAGAAGGGAAGGGCTGATCAGCTGAGCCTCACTGCTGGCGATGGGATGGTTTAGTGCCCTCTGACCAGTGTGTGCCCCCCACAACATTCCTGCCCTGGTTAGGCCACCACATGAAGACCAGGAGACTCAGCCCCACCCAACCTGACCTTGAATGTTGCCAAGTATGGGGCATTCACCTACCACCTCTTTGGGGAGCCTATGCAAGTGTCTCACCACCCTTATCTTTTCTTTTTATCTTATCTGAATCTACCCTTTCCTATTTTAAGACCATTGCCCCTTGTCCTGTCACAACAAGCTCTGCTAAAAAGCCTGTCCCCTCCATGCCTGGTTGCAAGGCACAGCAGAGAGATGGCAGGTGTCCCTCCATCCTTCAGACCACTTCCCATTACCACTCCCTAAATCCAAGTCCCCAGACCTCTAGGCTTTGGAAAAAACAGCCAGTGCCAGAGAAATGATGATCAACTCTTTCATGTCAGTGTTATAGTACTGACCAAGACAACCTTCTCTCCGCTGACAGGGGTGAAGCCCCTGGCTGGGAGCAGAGGCACACTGCAAACTTTGGGTTTCTAGCAGTGAGACAATGGCACCAGGCCCTTAAAGAACAGACAGATGTTGTTGTAGTGCTGAATGCAGTCTCCACACTGTCATCTAGTGGATTTAGTGGTGATAGCCAGAGCTCAGTTTAATACTACACTGTAATTTCACTGAACGTAACTGCAGCCTATTTTTTTTTTTCTGTACACGTTCTGCCTTTTCTCACCCAGTTCTCCTGGGATTTCTCTTTTCTGAATCCTCCTTTTACAATAATTTTATTCTCATAATTTTAAACCTTTAATACAACAATGCCTTTTTCTTTGGGTTACTGCAATTCCCAGGCAGGCTATTTCCCCACTGCAGTGACTGAAGAGTGTATTTCCCTTTCCTTTAGGAGACTCTATCTTTTCCTTAAATTAGGGTAGAAATAAGTTTCTTGTGTGGTCAGGGCAGCATAAATGCCCTTAGAGATTTATTATGAGTGATGTAAGTGCCCTCTGATACCCCTCCAGGCTCCAAAGACAGCTCTGCGGGCTGAACACACTGGGTGTCTGTGGGTAAACAGTGCCTCTGCCTCTCCAGGCTCCAGCCCCACAGCTTGCAGGCTCCTGCTATGAAAAACTGCCAGATAAATTCAAGTACTACAAACACAAGGAAAACAAAATTATGCCAGTTATGTTTGCCTAAACCTAACAATTATGGAACTATAATAAACCTAGCAGTGTGTGGGTATGATAAATATTAGCAAAGTGGAGTATGACAAGCACCCCAAAATCCTGAGCTCTCCCAGCTCAAGAGGGTGTGCAAGATGCAGCTGTTGGGTACAAGCTCATGAGGGGTGTCCTACCTCATGTGTCAAGAGGAGGTGTTTGTCTTTGTAGCTGTGGATTCCCAGACAGTGGGATTCTCAATGCTAATCCTATTTTGCTAAGCCTACCTATTGATATTTGATTTTTCCTTTCATCCTCTAGGTTGTAGTGACCTGTGACCTTCTGTACTTGCTCATTTATGGAGCCAGATTGCTCCTCATTCCTGGGGAGTCAGCTCTGAGCCTGTCCCAGAGGCAGCCCAACATTCCATCCACATCCCACAGCTGCCTTCCTGAGGAGTCAGCTCCCTAGGGTCACCCAGAGACAACTGACCTCTTCTCTCTCGCTCTGCAGCTGGTTCAAGCACTGGGATTTTGCAACATCAACCCTATGGTCTCACCAGATGTGAAATCAGCAATTAGCTAAATATATTATCTCCGGCTCAGCAATTCTCTCACTGTTTTGCAGGTATAGTAAGTCTGTGATTTGGCCAGTTTCTGTCTTACAGAAGAAATGCTAAATATGTTTGTGCTGCTTTGGCAATTTTGTCACTGGCCCATCTCAGCTTAGTGGCCCCTTTTCTGTGACCCTCCACTGCCTGCAGCTTCTCTTACAAAAACTGAGAGAAGGGGAAAGGATTTGTCAGAAATTGTAAACAAAGGGTATGAGGCCACTGATGTGCAGCAGAAAGGAGAAATGCAACTTTAAACATTCAGTGTAACAGTTTACAAACCACGCTCCAGAACAGCTTTTCTTCTCTGCATCTGTGCTTCTGCATTCAGAGGCTCTATCAAAACCCTATTGGATGAGTGCAGAGGCTATTTTTAATAACAAATTTCAGTTTAATAATTACTTTAATGAGCCTCTGGGAAAAAAAAAAGGAGAGTTATCTTCCACAGGCCACAGTACTGATCTATCAGGGAAAGAAACCCATTGCCACATTCATGGCTGATTCCTAAATAAAAGCTGGGAGTGCCGGAATCAGTCAACTCCTCTACAGAAACCTGGATTGGCTCCTTCAGCAATTAATTTTCAAGAATTGAGATTGACTCAGATGATGATAAGCAAATGAAGCAGGACATGACACAAAAAGGACAAAGAATTAGGAGCTAACAACTGCTGGAAATCAAGTCTGTGTTAGACCTTGCTAACAGGTGGCCACTCTCTGGGAGATGACAGCTAATCCACCCTGTCACCAAGCTTTTAACAGAAACCTGTCCCTGTTGAAAGGGCCACTGAAGTAACAGAAGCCAGGACAGGAGAACAGTTATTTCAGAACAGAATTCCCCTTCTGTATCTTATCATGAATACATAGACTAAGTCTCCCAAGTAAGGCAAGTAGATATACTTATTTTGGTACTGGTGCTTAAGCTAATTTTTGGGGGGAAGCAATGTGACACCCTGTTTTGCATTCACCACTGAGAGCTCTTCAAATAGGTTTGAGTTGTTTTACCCCCACTCCAGGCAGAGCATCCTGCTACAGGATGAGACTTGCCTCAGGGAATTTTTAAGTTAATTAATTTCCAATTATTAAAAACATTTGAGTAGTGATTTGTATTTTTCTTTTGAAAAAAAAAAAAAAAAAAAAACTATGCACAGGTAACCCTTTTCCTTCCTCCATTCCAGGCCCAGCTTCTCTCCATCACCCCAGGCACCTCTCCTGCAGGGTGCAATACACTCAGTTCTTTCATTGAGGCAATGGACAGAGCAGGGCTACGAAAAGACAACAGGGATTTCTGCTGGCATCCCAGGAAGACCTCTGACCAGCTCCACAAAGAAAACAGCACTTGCAGGTATAGATAGCATCCATGTCTAGCTCTCATTAACTATGCATTTGACCCTTCTCCTGTTCCCAGCACACAGAACAATGGAGTGAGTGAGGTTCTCATCAAAACACTGCGGAACAGCTCTCTGCAGTTTCTTATCTCCCTTGCCACAAAGCCTCCCAGGAGTACAGAACAGCTGAAAGCCCCTTGCACTAACCCAGAAGAGTGCCTCCCTCCCAGGCAGCAGTGGGGCTTCTCATCTTACTGCACTTTCTAACCCCTGAGAGACTTTATGCTGTGTGTGCAAACTTATTATCATAGCACTAAATGAGTATAAGTCCACAAAACCAGTGAAGTTCACAGAACCATTAAATCCTAAGAACTTACAGTGTGTATTGAATAGTCACCTCCAAATATTAAACGTCAATTTCATCCTGTGCTCTCTTTCCCACACTCTATAAAAACTTTATTTTTGTCATAATGTTAAAATTTAAGGTTTAGGGACTCATGCATCTTGTCTGTAGCTGTTTACGGTCTTATCAGGGGAGAAATTTGCACTGGATGTACTTGCACATGAACAGGTTCAACCATAGTTAGCTGCATGAGATGAAGAGCAGAAATGCCGAGAAGCAGCATCGGGCTTCCCTATGAAAAGTTTTTCCTGTTGGCTCCCGTGACTGCCCATTTATCTTGTAGTTGCTGGAGATGCCCACAGGTGAAACAGGCAGTGTTACAGACAGTTGTATCTGCTCTGTATCTGTCTGTCAAGTCAGCATGACCAGGATAAGGTCTGGTGTTTACATGTGACATTTGTGCACATATCCACAGTGCACATCCTGTGGAGCAGATGGTCTCCAGGCTTTTCTCTGCAGGTACTCCTTGCAGCCCTGCCACTGCTCCTTACAGATGTTTTCCTTCCAGCAACTGTCTGAATGGATAGTGGCCAACTTATGAGCCACAGCAATTTACCAGAGATTCCAATATCAGCAAAAAGTCTATCCCAAAGATCCCAGCCATACCAAATCAGAGCAGGCACAAGTCACAATGTCACTCTGTCACAATGTAAATATTGTCCCAGAGCCAAGATGCACTTCTTATATAAGGGAGGAAGGAGACACAGCTGCATCCACTGGGACTCAAAACTGGCATTCTTGCTTATTGGATGCACAAGATCAGTGAGACGACTTCTCCAAATATTTAGAACATAAACATCATGGGTCAATGGATCAAATAATTTCCTATTGAAAAGCATTCACTCCAGCATTTATGTCAGCTTCATGTGTCATTGTGCAGAACAAAACTCAGATTAAATTCCTGACAGGAACTCTGTTTTGTTTGTACTGGGTACACTTAAGGCTGCAATAAATCTTCCTTCACGCAGGCAGTATAATACAGGTAACTAAACTCTCAAGAAAATAAAAAACCTTTTCAGAGTTGACAACAGTACCACAAAATCCTCCAGTGGCAACATTCCCCACAGACAAATAGTTTGGCATCCAGAGAGAGAAACAAACTAATAAACTTGCAACTACTTCCTTTTAACAAGGAAGATCCATCATTTATTTTAAAGCTGCATTTCATCTGCAGGAGTATCTTCAGTTCCTATTTAACTAACTGCAGTAAGCACAACTTCATATTTTTAGGAAAAAAGAGACAAGGGGTAGTCCTCAAAAGTTTATTTCAAGTATAAAAACTGTTCAGTAAAGTATCTACAGCTTTTTTGTTCAGCATAAAGGTTTAATAAGATAGAAAGAATCAAGTACCAAATCTCTGTAAAAATACGATTTGATCTTAAATTTTGAGTAACAGTGAAAAGGCACTTAAACAAAAGATAGCCAATGACAAATACAACTGCTATGTCACAGTGAATGTGTAAGCAAACATAATCTAACACTTTATAAACAAAGAAATTAATCACAGTCTAGCTGAACTCAGCAACATAATCCAGACAAGAGTGAATTGGAACTCCCTGCACTTCAACAATAGAAGTGGCAAAGAAAGAGAACAAGAAAAGCAAGAGAAGCCTCCAGTAAATTAACACTCTGCAGCACTGTGTTCAAACTATGAACTCAAAGTTCTGTTCATACAAGCTCCACAAAAAGAAATTCAACAAAACTGGGTAGCAGCATGAATACTTCATAAATGCCCCTGATCTGTGCTTGCATTGAGGGGTTTATATTTCTATTCCCAGTTTAGAAAAAAAAAGTTTCTACAGAAACAGAAGCAAAATCATCAGACTACCCTAAGTGGGAAACAGAAGTGTAATGCCAGGGAATCCACTGCAGTCCCTTTGCAGCAGAAATATTTTTCCACTGCCAGCAATGGAAAGTATAATAAGTAGAAGTGTTTGAGAATCAGGAAAGAAAACAGGCTATGCCAGTTTAAATGAGTTTGTTATTTTTGGTCAAGATTCAAGGAGCTATTCTGTCTTAAAAAAAAAACCAAAAAACCAAAAACCAAAAACAAAAAAAAAAAAAAGCCAAAAAAACCCAATACGTTTAAACAGCATTTACAGCACCAAAGAATATATGGACAATAAATACAGAATAAGATGGTAATTATTCACAAATATGAGGAAATGGTGAAGGAAATTTTCAACACCCACCAGAAAACTCTGGGCTTTTTACAATTATTCAGCAACATGAAGTAAACAGAAAAAAAAATTATTTTAGTGTTGGCATTTTTTTCTTAGTGATAGTGAGACCTTTGATACAGGAGTCCTATCAAGATTTTTGCATCTTTTTTTCCAGATACATTTTCCTGTAGGTCTGAAACATCTCTTTTGAGTCTTTGACAGGAATGTGAAGAGTCTCTCCATGTCCTTCCAGGATCTGTATAGCTGTATCAAGGGGAATACTGTCCTCAGCTGCAAGACAGACAAGCACATTAAAGCAAGAGTCTCAAAGGACTCCACTCCTTATACACATGGTACCTAAGACCTTCCAGTGTCAAAAAGGATGCCACAAACTTCCTTCCTAAAGCACCAGGCACTTCAGATGTAAAACAATCTCCAATGCATCTTTAAGCACAAAATGGCTATTTGGGTGTCTTCAAAGGAGTGATTTCTGGAGAGTATTAAGAAAGGTATGACAGGAAACATGCATTTGTGAAAGCAAGAGAAGAAGCAAGAGGAAGGGCCAAAATGATGGCAGATACCAAAGCCCAAGGACACAGGCAACAGCAACAAAAGATGCAAAGGTTGCAAACTATGTTACTTGCAACACCACAACACAAGTACCACATGCAAGCCCTCTGTTCTAAAGTGAAGAAGCAGACAGCAACAAGGCTACAAAATGCATTCTGTTTCCAGTTAGACCACAAGAAAAACAAAATGAGAGAGAGAGAGGTACCTAAAGCAAAGAAACAAGGACAGCAGGGAGCAACCTCACCCAAGATTTACAAAGGATGGAACAAACAAGATCCTGAGATGAAAGTTGCCACTGTTGTGACAGTTGATTCCTAGAAGGTATAAAAGACCATCCAAAAAGCAATTTGCCATTCAAGAGAAATGAGGAAGATGTAAGAGTGGCCCCACTTTTCCTCTGGGTGTCATACAGATTATCTTGTCCAAACTACTGGGACACATAAGTCCTGGAACTTGTGAGCACAGGTGGTATGTGTGAACAGCAACAATGTACTGTGAAAGCCAGATTGATTTTAAAAATCACTTTCTGGTTTTGCACTAGATTCTGCTACATGACCTTCTATATTTTAAAGCATGAAAGAGTCTTTATATACAATTGAAAACTGTATTTAAATGTTACTAGTGCTACATCCAAGTTAATGGCACAGGAAAATTTCAACATTTCCAACAACATATTCATAAAGCAATAAAAAGCTATACAAATCTTTGAGACTTGTAAGTCTATTCTATGGTATCCATTTAATCAGGAGAATGAGTAAATAATAATTTTAAATGCTTTATTAAGGTTTACTACTGTAAAGGAACATTTAAAACCACGCAAAGAGGATTTAACTTGTATTTCAAATGGGACATTCACAAGTCACTTCACCTGTAGAGATCTCTTCCAGTTTCTTTTGCTTCACTGGTTCACATTTTAACCAATCTTCTTTTTTACTCTTGACACCTAAAAATAAATTTTCAAAAAATGTTTCTGAGGTTCCTTTATCACAAGTTTTGTCCTCTATTCAGCATTAAATTCTAATACATATATTAGCACACACAAAAGGAAATTTCCTTTGGGTATGAAAATTACTCCAAGCGCTGATATATACAGCTTAAGAAAAATAAAATACAACATTTGACAAAAATATGCTTCAGAATGCACCATGTAAAATGTTGAAAAAGGGACTAGGGAAGAAGAGATTAAAAAATGGATGTTTAAAGCAAAGATGGCAAAGATTACGGGGACTATGGGCAGAATATGCCTGGCCTAAGTCCAGTCTATTCCTCAATGTCACAAAGATCTCTCCCACCTCTGCCCTGCCAGACTGATGCACAAGCAGGTGAACAGTGAATACAGAGCAGATCACCTTTGATCAGATCACCCTCACTACGCCAAGGGAATCTACTTTCTACAACCAAGCCAAGCTAACTTCTACAAGTACTTTAGAAAGCCTTCTCCCAAAGTTACTTGAAACTGCCATGCTCTAAAGTATTCTAATTTCATTCTCTAAGACTTACAGAAAATTGAAGGAAAACTCCCATGTTCTTTTTCAGCTGAAGACACAGCTGTGGTCTGTCAGAGAGCAAGTTAGGATATCTCAGCTTTCAGGCTCCACATGTTTTCACTGTCTGTAGCTTTGTGCAACATGAATTTAAAAATGAATACACAGTTTTTACTTAAAAAATGAATATTTAAGAGAACATCATACCTTCTACAACAACTTTATCTCTTTCTGGAGAATTCTTTGCAGCTAAGCTTTCTTCACCAGGGGCTGGATTTCTGAACAGTATCTCTGGACACAGCTTGAACTCAAGGACTTCCTGTTTGCATGATTTCTCAACTGTTGAGACAGACACATCTTTTTTTGAGTTGCTGCTTTGTGATACTTTGGTGGTTCTATGCCAGACGGGTCTGACAGGTGATGTCTCCAATTTTGTCAGAGAGATGCGCTCCTGTGCTGTACGTTTAAATGCCACTCTGTTCAAATAGTGTTTTTTGGGTTCCTTTTGAAGATGCAGCTTTAGTCTGTTATTTCTTCTGTTTAGGTATAGAAGATTTTTATCAGGAAACATTTTCTCAGAGCACTTGTCTTTGTTTTGACCATCGAGATGTCTTTCTTTGCTAGAAAAGAAGTTTCTAGACAGGCTAGAAGATCGAGCCCTTTTTCTCTGCAGTTTAAGCACAGAGCAATCCACTAAGGAACTCCTTGGCTTCCAACCATTTTCTCCATTCAGTTTTTTAGCTTTGTCAGCATTTAGCAAACAATTGTGTGCAAGCTGCTTAGAACTCTTTCCTTTCGATTGTTTCAGTCCTTCCTCTTCCAGCTTTGCTTTCTTAAATTCTCTCTTCCCAACCATATTTTCCTTCATCTTCCGTTTGTGTGGCTGCTCTTGCAAAGGATGAACTTTCAGAGATTTATGCTGAGAATATTTTGTGTGTCTTGATTTGAAGTCTACAGTGCTACTATCTGAGAATTTTACAGCATCAGCTCGATAACTACTCAATTTTTTATGCTTCATTTCTGCTGGCAGTTTTGCTTGCTCTTTGACACTAATTCCTACATCTTGCCTAAGCACTTCCTTTTGTTCCCTGCAGCTTTGTTCTTCAGCGGAGTTCTCTTCACAAGTTTTTTTTTTTTGTCCTTGACCGACTTCAGATTGCTTAATTTCAACAGTTTCTGACTTCACAGTTTGATGAATGTCTGGTTTGGATTTCATGGTCAGACCTGGTTTGGTTGTATCTTTTGAAAGGGACTCAGTTTTGAAAACTCTCTCCTTCTTTACAGGCAACTTCGCCATATTGTCTGCATATGTATGATCAGTTTTTTCTGGTAACTCTTCAGAGGCTGTCTGGTGCTCTTTTTTGAAAGAATTCAATTCTTTACTTGACACTTGGGTTCCTTTGTCAATTTGCAGATGTTCCTTCAAACTGCTGCTTTTGCATTTATCAGCATCCTGGTTTTCAAAAGAATTAACTGGTCCAATTTTTTCCTGCTTTGTTGTAGGCAGTTTGTATTCATTATCCACCTTCAGCCTAGGTTTCTTGTTCATTTCAGAGGTGTATTTGCAAATACCTTTATTTTTGCTAATATTTTCTGGGATTTTTTCAGAAATTGTCAGGTCTCCTCCCACTACACAGTTTTCCTTTTTCAAGGCATCAGATTGACTGTTGTTTTCTTCTGTCTCTGCAGAGTCAGTATTTTCAGCTTTTGAAAGTTGACAATCATTTTTCTCTGAACCAGATGTTTCTAACTGAGAGGGACAATGTGGTGTTTTATATGCTACAGATACACCACCTGTTAAAGAGCGATCTTCACTTTTTTCACTGGGGTTAGAAGTTTCTTGTGGGGTTTTTTCCTTCTCACATAGATCCTGACTAGGCTGGACACTGCTTTCAAGGTTGTCCTTGTCAGCTGAAGCCTTTTCTGATTGTTGCCTCACTTCTCTCTTGCTGTCACTAGAGGGACACTGGTTGTGCGCAGGAGACAGTTCTTGAACCTGATCAGATCTTAACACTGCAATTTTACTCTGATTTACTGGGTCCTTCAAATGAGAATTCTTGTCACAAATTTTAACCTCTTTTTGAGACTGATTCTCTGTCCCATCAGCCACTGAATGATTTTGTGCTGCTTCTTTTGTTAGCACATCAGCACCTTCAATGCCATATGGAAACTCTTTCACTAGAGCAAGCAGCTGATCTTTTAGATATTTACTAGGTTTTGCTCCAAGAAAGTTCACCTCCTTTTCCATGCTATTTTTACTGGGCATGGAATTTTGTTCACTGCAGTCTCCTGGAACAGCGGGTGCATTTGTTTTAGCAGTTATGCTGACAGAGGAATCCAGTGAATTTTGAGCTAACTTTTGTTTTATATTAGCAGGACTTTCTAAGGAATTTTCAGGGTGCTTGGAAGATGCCTTGAATGACGTTTTTTGTTCAGAGGTAGAAACTGCTTTAGGAGGATTGCCACTGCTTTCCTTCTCCAAATGACTTGATGATTCTTCCAACATCTTTAGCAGCAAGCTCTCTCTTTGGGCAGTGTTATTGCTCAGCTCAGTTTTATTCAAGTCCGGATGTGGTTCCTTTTGCCTTGTACCAGATGCATTTCCTTCTGATTCCAGTGTCTCATAGACTGATTTGAACATGCCTGCTATTTGTGGGTTATAAAATTTATCACCCTCAACAAGAGAGCAAACACTAGAAATACAAAGCATGTCACTTTCCAGCACAGCTGTAGATGTATCTCCTGCCTCTAACACAGCTTGCTTATCTTCGTGGTCTCTTGTACCTTCTTGAGAGATCTGACTACAAAAATTTGTGCCTGATTCAGGAAGAGGAGCCTTGTTTTGTAATCCAAGCTGCAAGTTTCCTCTTGCATCTTGTGCAGATTGACTAACTTTCCTTTGGTTTTCATCACCTACTCTGATCTGTTGCAAATCCGAATCCACTTTTTGTTCCAGAACACAATCACTGGGTGATGACCAAGCATTGTCTATTGTTCCTTTGTCAGTACTGGCCACATTTAAACCATTTTCCCCCTCTTCTTGCAAGCTACATGTGCTCCCCGAGTTGATCGCTGGATAGGTTTTACCTTCAGGTGTTGGGATCTTGCCTGCCTGCTCACTTAGTGTTCTTTGTTCACAAAGCACTAAAGGAGAGACAACTGCAACTTGAGGTTCAAAATTTTTTATCAAACTGGAAGTCAGTGTATCCAGTTTTTGTCCCACAGAGGTACTTGTTACAGGCAAAACAGCCTCATCCATGCTATCCAGCACATTATTTTTTTCTCCCTTCTTTGTGTTTTGGTCGGAAGGTGAAACCTGATTTGCTGTGGGGCTTTCATTTGACTGTTTATTTTCCACACTTACAGATTCTGGTGGATACTTCCCCCACAAGCGCAGGCATGCAACCAGCTCTTCCATAGAGTAATTACAATTGCTCTGGCTACAGGATGCATTTTCATTAAATGGTGGTTTCTTCTGAGCTACCTCAGTCTGCAATTGAGCATCACCAGATGCAGTTGTTTCTGATGCAGGAGAGTTTGTGTGAGCCACAGACGCCTGCTCACCTTTCAGACTTTCTACATTCTTCTCACTAGTGTCTTTTAGCAAGCTTCCACACGAGACAGATGTATCAAGCAGCGGTTTTTCACTACACAGGAGATTTGTCAATATTTTATCAGCAGTAGCACCAGCTGTCTTCTCTTTCAGCACGTTTGTGCTGCTCAATACAAACTGAAGAAATGATGAATTCTCAGGGCCAATTTGCAGAGTCTTTGAGGCACTCCTGACAGAGCTCCCTACTTGAGTAAAACACGAAGCATTGTTTGAGGAAGTCACAGTTCCTTGAGAAGAGGGCAAGGCATGCACATCCCTTTGTTCCAAGATGCTCTCAGGATTATTAAATTGAGCTGGGACTTTGCTCTGAGAGGGAACAGCAGTGAAGCTTGATGAAAGACTTCCCTGCTTCACCTGAGGGTTACTTTGAGTCACCTCCAATCTTCTGTTATCAGTACTGGCTAGGTTTTTGTCATTTCTTTCTTCATGTGAAACCATGAGTGTGGGCCTCTCTGTCCTCGCTGCTTCAGATGGGGGAGGCTGTACATTTTGTTTGGGCACACATGGAAGACAATTAGAAGGAGAACATGGATAACTAGGAGGAAGAGAATGACTACTTTTTTCATGATAGATTTTTTTTTTATAATTATGAACCGTTTCAAGCAGGACTACCCTTTTTTTAAGACATTTCAGCTTTTCAGCTTCCCAAGCTAGTCTCTCCCTTGTAATTCCTACTCCATGCGTTGCTGCCGCTGAAGAAATCTGAGCATTAACAGGCCCATTCATCAAACTACTAGTCTGGCTCTCTGGAACTGAAGCAGGATCACTCAGTGGCTTTGAAGAAAGAGCTTCTATTTCTTTCACAACATCAAGCAGTTCTTTGGGAATGCCAGGGGATGACACAGAACTTTCACTAAAAGACCGAGTGGCTGTCACACTTCCACTTGGATTACAGACATTCCTGATGGATTGACTAACTTCTCCAGATTGCTGCTTCTGACAGTGTTGCTGAATACTGTTAAACCCAGGAGCATTTTTTGGATCCAGTGGGCACCTCTGCTGGTTTATGTTGTATCCATTAGGTACATTTTGCATTTCCTGTGGTACACCCATTGAAGGTTGTGCTGCAGGCCTTGAAACACAGTTGGCAGGCAACAAAGAAGGTGCAGAACATCCTCTAGGAGTTTCTGATGCCATCTGACTCTGCTGAAATTGTGGCAGCTGCACATTCATCCCAGTATTTTGATTCACTGAATACAAAACTTTACACTGATTATTGGAATTAAATATCTGAGGTTGGACATGTTGCCCGGAAGTACCAAGAGGAAAAGAATTATTCTGGGGATGAATGCCACCTTGATGTAGTGTTGCAAGTCTCAGGGAATTATGCTGCAGCATTTCTGGCTGCAGGGTGTAAGCACTGGTATTGCTGTACTGTGGCTCCCCAAGCACATTCCTAACATTATTCCCTGTGTTCACTTGAGAGGACAGGGGGGGTACATTTCTGCAGGGATAACTGTAGGGATTAGAGACTGGCCAAGAAGTCGGAGTCATCTCTGGCCGCAACGGGGAATTCTGAATGGGAGGTTTTAGAGCTGTTACGTACATCTGTTGATTCCTTTTGACTGAGTATTTTGACATAAAAAAATTATTACCAGTTACAGATGCTCCTGGTGAGGTTTGATCTGAAGTTTTGAATCCTTCAGCATTTACAGCAGGGAAGGCAACATTGATAGTTGGCATATACATGATTTGGTTATTTTCAGCGTGAGTGCATGCATTTTTAGAGGAGTTGGCATTTGTCTGAGGAAAGGCATGTCCATTAGGAAGTAGCTGAGTGAAACATGCTCCTTCACTTTGCAGGTTTGTGTTTGCATCAGCATTCTGGACTGGCCTTACATTCCAATCCATGTTTTCTTGTTTTCTTTTTCTTCAGGCAAAACCAAAATGCTAAAAAAAAATTTTACAAAAATTACAACCTTTTGATCAAGACCTATTTCACCTACTAAGAAGTGATTTAGAATGCATCATGAACAGAACTGTTGAACCTAAATTGCTGGGTAGAAGAGCAACCCCACTAGCACAGCCTGTGGACATCAATGCTGTCAGTGTCAAGTTGCACAATGTCAAGTTGCACAGTGTCAAGTTGTGTTTCCCAGAACACAGTAAAGTATAAAAAGAGAAGCAACTAACAACTCTACTGACTATCTAATGACTAACAAAACCTTCACATTATTCTGCTAGTTCTATTAACAATAGATTGCTATATTTGCCTTCTTCATACAAAAACAATGGGAAAAAACACCAAGGCACGTGTATAACACAACACAATGAACAATACTTAAGAGCTGAACACAAGAAACACCTACAGAATAAAATACAAGCCAGGGTTTTCAGACAGTAAGACTCAATTTCAATCACACCTTTAAATACAACAAAATAAATGGAAAAAAATTAATTTGAGTTTAGTAAAATTTAGTAAAATTAATTTGGGTTTAGTAAAAATCTCTCATAATAATGTGGCCCACTAGTTTAATTTTGAGAAATATGACTGTGCCTCTAGTGAGCTACAAGCAGAGAGCCCCTAATTCTGTTGGCAGCATTAACTTACTCAGCTGGGAGAAGGCACGAAGCACGGGAATGGCAGCAACACTTCTGCAGTACTTACACCTTCGGAAGCTGACAAAGGCACATATCTCTATGTCTTCATGCACTACATTCCAGCATGCACAGGGATTCCCGACTGTAGGATATGGGGTTATAATTATCAGAGTGGCTAAGGCTCATGCTCACCGTAAGGCCCTGTGGGAGAGGCACAGCTGCAGGCCGGAGAGCTGGAAGCCAATGGAGGAGCCAGAGGCAGTTAGGAGGGAGGAGAGAGCCAGTGAGTGACAGTTGGGAGCGAGATTGGGATTGGCTGCAGGAACACGTGGACAGCATATGACCAGGAAGCTGATTGGATGATGCAATGCATGGACAGCACATGAGCAGGAAGCTGATTGGATGGTAGAAGAGTGGACAGCAGTGTGGCAGCTGAGCCAGCCAATGGGTGCCTTCTTTCTGTTAAATTCGGTTAGGTCTGGTTTTGGTTTCAGTTATGTCAGGTAGAGATTAAAGGTATAAAAGGGGTGCGATTTCTACAACAAACTGATCTCCTTCAGATGCTTAAGGTGGTCTGTGTCGCTTTGTTCCCCACTGCTACAAATTCCTGGCCCAAACTGGGACCTGTAATGTGGTGCAGGATGTGCAGGTCACTCTAGGTCAAGGAACCGACCAGGAAGAGTCTGGAAAAGGATCCGGGGAAGGATCCGGGAAGAGTTCGGGAAGGAGCTTAGGAATTTCAAAGTGGGCACACCTCACCTGGAGAGCGAATTGACCAGTGGGAGCAAATATGGGAGGTGGAATATCCCAGGAACAAAGCAGGAGCTTGGGTCAGGTAGGGTGGCTCCTACATCAGCAATCTGTTAACATGGCTGATGTGAAACTAAGCACCCTGCTGGACTGGGTGTCTAATCAATTAAAGATTTTCCCTTTAATGGACCCCTTCAATCAGAAACCTGGCAAGCAGCAGGACAGAGACTTTTCACTACACGGGGGACAATCACAACAGCCATTAAAGGAAGTCAGTGAATGTTACCATTACCTGGCTTCGGAAGCTGAGCCCCCCGAACCCATACACGACCCCAAGATTGACCCAAACCCCACAGAATTCCCTTATCCCAAGATTAACCTAAGCCCTGCAGAACTGCCTTGCTCTGATAAGAATCCCTGCATAGCTCGCCCCTTCAGTACGGAATGCCCACATCACAAGCAGGCAGCAGGCTTGCTCCCTGCCCAAGACAGCGACACTGTAGGCCAGTGATGGCAAAAATGAGGGAAGCACCATGAAGGAGGGCAAATTGGCGGTCACTACGGCCTGCCCAGTAATATATGTGCCAAACCAACACCCAGCATACTGAGAGCTGGACTATAAAGTGATTAAAGAACTGAGGGCACCAGTAAAAGAAAGCAGCTTATCCTCCTATCCATCATGTTGAACTGTCTAGAATCCCTCAGCACTGCGTACGTCCTCACATCCCACAAATGGAAGAGCATAATGAAACTGTGATAAACGGATGTGATTCATGCTAAAGAAATTGTAATTATATCAATATTTTGGACAAATAATTGGAAAAGTACATGTGATTAGTGAAGCAGGTGGGTTTCTTTGGAGATGATACATGTGGGAAACAGGATATAAGAGTTGGATTCAGCCTTGGAAATGGACGAAGTCAGGAAGACTCCCAAATCAAAACTGGCATCAACTGAAGTTAAGACAACTCCCAGAGCAGGGACTGACCTTGAATAGGAATAAAGCTGGGACAACTCCAGACACGGAGTCTAAAATAGTGGTCTTAAATGTGAAATAAATAAGGTTTAATTGAAACATAGTGCTTTCTTATATAACACCAAGCTTAATGTGCATGCGCCACCTGCCAGGTTATTCAAAGAACAGTGAAGAAGATGATGAGCCTTCCTCTGAAAAGACCACCAAAGAGCCAGAAGACCCCTTGGAAACAAGTGCAGCATGCGCTGTGTAGTACAGTGACGTAGATATTAGGAATTGAAAATAGGAGATTTACAGAAAGTACTAATGAATATGTATTAGCATACAGTATATAAGTAACATTTGGATCCTTTTGCCTTTTGTCCGTGAGGCAGGGTGGGAAGCTCTCCCCTTACCCTGATCAATCGGTTTTGCTTATGCTTTATCTGAACCACTGCCAAATTTCTTTTGATTGTATTATTTGATTGTACTACTTTTTCTCAATTAAAACTGCTGCTAAATTTTAAGTTTGTAGTTTATTAAATTAGACATAATGTGACCTCATTCATAACAAAACTGATTCTAACAGCGACGCAGTTAGCTCACCAATGACCTGGCTCACCAGTTATTGAGAGCTGTGTACAGCCCAGGCAGAAGCGCTGCAGGACAGCAATCCACCGATCACCATTGCACAGCTGAAGGAGAGAGCTTTCACAGTCCCTGCAGCACAGGCAGGCTCCCATCATGATGGATGTGATATCATCGCTCGCTTAGCCCTGCAGTGGCTCCCAGGGACGGGTATCAATCCTAATCTTCCTTTGCTAAGATTTTACAGGGTCCAGCGGAGTCATTTGTGCAGTTCCTGGACAGACTGCAAGCCACACACTCCAGACAAGTCAACAGTGATGAGGCCAGAACTATTCTCTTGCAGCAGCTTGCTTTCATAAACACGAATGAAGATTGTAGAAAAGCATTGCTCGCTGTTTGTAACCCACATGCATGTGACACAGCAGGCATTGGTTAGAGCATGCCAAATGTGGCAACTGCTGCTTATAACACTAACTCTCTGGCAGGGGCTTTAGGCTCCAGAACCTACACTCTTCGGGTTCCAGACACGCAGGCAGGGGTCAAGGCAGGCCGGCCCCAGGATGGGGAATGGGACAAGGGGGGGTCAGGATGGCCCTGGCGAGCGCATTGGCAGTGCCCGGCTCACTGCAGGTGGCTCCGCAGCACAGTCCCCCCAGGCGAGCCTCATGGCAGCACAGCCCTCGGCACAGCCACAGGCACGTCAGGAACTGCCAGCCCGTCAAGTACGGCAACATCAGGCACAAAGCATGGCCTGGTGACAACAGCATGGCTGGCCTGGTGGCTGTCACCAGAATGTTTGTCTCGCACATCCACCCAGAATCGGCAGCCAGAGCATGGGGCCACAAGGCCGAGCCATGCTCTTCCAAGGCGCGGGGCCGCCAGCAGCAGCAGCGGCCACACGGCGTGGCTCCCCCAGCGCAGGCACTGCCACACCACAGCTGTCACTGGGGGGCTGGGCCAAGCGCTGGGAACATCACCGCCACGGCAGCTGAGTGACAGATGGGAGTGAGATTGTGATTGGCTGGAGGAATGTGTGGACACCACATTAGCAGGAAGCTGATTCGATGATAGGATACATGGACAGCACATGAGCAGGAAGCTGATTGGATGATAGGATGCACGGACAGCACATGAGCCGGAAGCTGATTGGATGATAGGATGCACGGACAGCACAAGAGCCGGAAGCTGATTGGATGACAGGATGCGTGGACAGCAGCACTGCAGCTGAGCCAGCCAATGGGTGCCTTCTTTCTGTTAAGTTTCGGTTTGGTTTCAGTTATGTCAGGCAGAGATTAAAGGTATAAAAAGGGTGCGATTTCTACAATAAATTGAACTCCTTCAGGTGCTTACGGCAGTCCGTGTCGCTTGTCCCCCATTGCTACAAACCCAAATGGGTGAGCATGTCACTCTATAAAGTTTTTAGAGACAGCATTTTCAAAGCCAAACACTATTTCAGCCTTCAAAAATACACAAAAAGGCATAAAAGCCCCCATGAGAAAATACAAGAATGAATGCTTGCATCTTGACAAGCTCTTCTCAGTATGGTCACACCCAGCTTGCTTTGTGCAAGGTGTTAGGCAGTCTCGAAACAGAATGTTTCATGCCATTTCTCCCAAATCACCAGGGCTCCCGACTTTCCTTCATGGGTTCTTTTAGATTTTAAGATTCTTCTCATTTCAAATTTGAGAATGAAAACTATCACTCATATCTAGCCTATAAAAAACAAAAGGTGTTATAATTTCATAGGTGTTATTTTAAGATTCAAAGACAGCTCTATCTTTCTTCACTCTTTTACTTTCTCTGCTCTCATAAGACACCAATAACAAAAAAAAGACAGGAAAATAAAGTGGCATATGAAATTCCTAAAAAACATCAACATCAGTGTCCAGGCAATACTTACAGTGATTGATGCAACAATCTTAGCAAAGAAAACAGGCTTTTGCATCCAAGGTAAAGCTTTCAGGCTGCTAATGTTTCACTGGGTATTTCCTGAAAAAAATTATTGGGGATAAAACAAAATCACATCCTTGAATTAGACAAATGCTAAGGAAACTTAAGATATTTACATTTTCTGGGAACGTAACTATGAGAGAGACAAACAAGACTAAGATACCAACCATTAGTAACTGTAAAATCCTTGCTAGAGGAGGAACTTTGACTACATGCAGCACACAACTTCACTAAGACTAAAATCCAATCATTGTCACTGTAAAGACCAAAAAAAAATAGGAAATTAGAATCCCTTGCTGAAGCCAGGCTGGAGGCAAGGGGAGAGGTTCACTGCAATGTTAAATCCTATAACCTGTCCCAACAGGACCAAGGGTGGAGGTCGTAATGGATATACCTTGAAATTCTTGTAAGCCATGATTTGAGTTGTGTGTTACAGGAATTGCTATCAGAGGAACCACGCAGGACCATCCCCAAGAATCACCTGTTGTTTTGAGATAAACTACACAAACATATGCTCAAAGATAAAAGCCTTGAGATTACCAAGGTCACCTGACTATTTCCTGGGGCAGTCCCACAAATTTGGGATTAAAGACAAGTAGGCTGGTTATCAATCATTCTTTAGATGAAGCCCATGTGCCAGATCAAGTCCTATGAGTTTGTCTTCCATCTGAGGCCCAGCAGCACCCAGTAGTTAAAGAGTCCTGGCTCACTCAGAGCCCACTAACATGGTACCCAGCACGACAGCTTGTTGCTATGACCTCGAGTTAGAGACAGGAATGAGACGGACGAGACACTCATTCCTTCGAGCAGAATAGCCGAATGTTCACTGCACACAGCTCCTTTTATATGGTATCACAAGGCACCATGCTGGAATCTTATAGGTCAGAAAATCATTGAAACTCAGTTCATTGCTTGGTAATGGCTAGTGTATATGTCCATCAAACTTTTTTCTTTCTAGATATGTTTACATCTTTTCTTCACAGACTTTCATAGGATAGACTCCTTATTTTTGCATGTGCAAACTGTTCTCTCACAAAAATAGATTGTTATGCAAACTGATTCTCATTCCTGTGATTCTTTTCTCATGAGAACTCAACAGGCCAGCTTAGCCAGAATGGCAAGGCCTAGACCATGTTTTACAAGGCCTTTCTTTTATAAGGTTTTACCTATATGTACCACCAACTATTTTCTGCTATGCTCGTTCTGTCATTCTGCCTCCTCTGTCAGGATGCAGCCACAGTTACGACCAAACCCCTTGTGACAGGGTAGTTAAAAACCTCCTTAAGCCTGTGCTAAAGGGTGCCGACCCAAGGAATCTTGAAAGCCCCTTTCAACCCAGGTATTCCAACCAGGCAGCACACAGAGCCCCAACACTTGTTTCACCAGCTTTTGCCAACAAGCCCCTATGCTGCACCTTGTCCCACCATGGCTTGAGCAAGGGCCCTAGTGCTCCTCCCATCATTTCATCAACTGGAAACCCCCCAGCCCTTGGTTTCCCAGATTTATCAGACATACAGTTAGCACCCCAGACAGAACCTGATGATCCTTCTCAGGTGCCATGGAGGGTGCAGCTTACAGAGACTTCCCATTTGGAGGTAGATGCCACCATCAATGGCATCATCATCTGTGTGTCCTCATGGACAGTCAAAATTCTGCCTTCAGCTGATCACAAGGGAGAGGAACACTTTTCTCACCCTCTGCAGTAGTCCACAGTTTACAGAAGCCCCTTCAGCCCTTCCCAAGGTCAGTCAAGTGCAATGTCCCTAAGAGCCAGCCAGCCTGAGGATCTGGTTTTGAGAGGTTCTAACCTCCACTGTGGAGTAACTCCTATACAATTCTAGTCAGGTCTGCACGGCAGCAGTTTATCACTGCATGTAGCTGCAGAGCTATGCACCACAAAAAGCAGGCAAGTAACAGCCTCTGCTGAGTTGAACCTTGCCCAGCTGGGTCAGAGACAGAGTTTATATTTATATACCTCTGTGTTACATGCCTTGTTTTTCATGGGATTACAGGTACATGTTAGATAATCAAGATGCAGTAAGCTACCAGAAAGAATGGTAACTTACAGATTGCTTCAGATAAGCTCCAGACAGTATGTCCTTTTACAAGTATTCCATTCCAATAATTTGGCCACTCTTACTCAGTGAGGCCATGCTGCAGATATTTCTAACTAGAAAGGCCTACAAAGGCATTAGCTTTTTTACTTACACAGACAAAACCACTCATAGACCAGACCTTCCATGATGCTCCAGGGAAGGTACAATCTCCTGGTACTTCTGAATCAAACTCTCCCTACCTTGAGGACACTGAGAAGCCCCCACCTCTACCTCCAGTGACCATGCTGTTAACACCCTGTGATCCTGCAAGCCCCAAAATTCATCATGTCTCTTTTCAGAGAAGTGAAAAAACAGTGAGTATTCACTTGCACCCACTTCCCCTTTTGACAGCCGCAGCCAGTCAGCTCACAAGTCCAGTGGGTCCTGGCACCTGACCAGGTCTACTGGAGCAGGACACTCTGCCTCCGTGGGGTAAAGCAGCTCAAACAATACCCTGACTGTAAAAGTTGTCAGTGATGGATGGAGAAGGGGGATCATGCTACACTTGGTGTAGAACAATGCTGAGACCAGCCTGATTCCATAACCCCAAAGTTGAACATTCTGACTATGTGAGGAACACTGTTTCCTGGTAGAAATTGGCACGGGTGAGAATGCAAAAAAAGTTCCTGATAAAGCAACCAAGAAGTGGCAGTATTGATAATTCACCTGACACTGCTGAGCTAAAGGCTGCTGAGCTGAATCAGTTGGCCCAGAAACATCTGACTGACAGTGGATCACTATAAAAACCCAGTCCCAGTTTTTATAGTGGATCACTATAAAAACCAAGCAGAGACTGGTTACGAATACATAACTAAAGGCCTGGCACTGGGTGCTCCAATAGTCTATTTGCATTCAAAAGAACCAGCCAGGTTCACAAGTACTGTGGTTTACTTAATGCAACAGACATGGCTCTTTTGGAGTGCTCTTTTGGAGCAGAATCTGCATAAACTGCAGAGAAGCTAAATATAGCCCTGACAGTACAATGGCAATCACAAGCTCAATTTCTCACATAAAAACACTCACCACAGCGGAGGACACAAGTCTTACCAAAAGGTGCCCCTTCTGCAGAGGGTGAGGAAAAAGTGTCCCTACAATTTTCATGTCAAATTCTCATCCCCCAGCTAAACACAAAATCAGGGCCCTTTTATACCTTATTAGCCATTATTGTCCAAAGTGCTGTGGGTGGGCAAATTTTCTGTTCTTAGTGGTTGTGTCGTATGCAGTATTTCTTGGTAGGAGGTATACCTGGTAGCAGTTGTACAAAACATTTCCTGGTATTGAGACTGTGCTGCTCTTTTCCCACTTTAAATTCCTACCCGATGCCATGGCAACAAAAACCTCCTTCAGGTTTCCATGTCTGCTCTAATCACTGATGTTCTGATGCGTGGGCTCTGTCTCATAGTGAGCTTTGCTATTTTCTTCACCGTTTTATGCTTCCCACACTCTTAACATACCCTCTTCTAGAAGTGTGTGTGGAGATTCCTCCTTTGAGTGGGGACAACTCCAAGGTTATTTCCCAAGGCTGAGTTAAAGAGCTGTGCCCACAGACATTGGTACGAGTAAGCAACATCAATCTCTACTTGATTATTTTGCCAGCTTTATCGTCTCTGTAATTATAGTTCACTATCTATACTGTGTAGTAATTAATTCTGATTAAGGTCCTTTAGTCTAACTAGTATTATGATCAATATCATCAGTATTAGCACCATATAAATAAATAATTTTTTCATATTGGCTTGCCTTCCTTTATCCTGTGGGATGAAGTTGTATAAAGATTCAAATACACCTGTGGAATTCCTTAGACATTAACCTTTGAGTAAGTCTTTGAGCTAGGACTGGATCCAGCACACCCAGACTCCTCTCTGAGGAGGAGTTTAGAAAGCAACAGGATCCTTTCTGCACCCTGTGACTCAACAGGAGGGTACATGTGATAAACCTTGGGTGAAACTTCCATTCTGCTTGTGACAGCTACCTAGGCATAAATTTTGCCCCCTCTCTGCCTCATACTGCAGTCTCAAAAGCTGCCAAAACCATCAATGCCATTTATCTTTGTCTTATCTATGCACAGTCAGTTTGGACATTAAAGACATTACACCAGTGTCTCACCCACCAGGCCTATCAAGCTCACTTTGCTTGGACTTGGAATGGCATTAATTATACCTTTACTCATTTACCTGCAGGCTATGGCTATAGTCCTGCCGCTAAGGTAGCTTGGGCAGTATTAGCTGAAATTTCTCCCATTCCTGATGTCTCTCATCACCACTATCTTGCTGACTTTCCTACCACATATAGATGGGAATCTTACACAAGAAATTATTCCAAATTTCAGCCCTCAAAGAACACCAGGAAGCTTTTATCTTCCTGGTAAATGCCAGGGTCCTGCCCAGAATGTGAAGTGTTGGGGTAATTTTTAAAGGAATCTTTTTGCATGCCAGTATCAAAGGAATTTCTGAAATTGTCTTGAAGTACTTTTTTTTTTTTTTTTACCCAATCTACTCCCTCCTCCAAATGCAAATATCAAGTCTTCTAGGTTCTAAATCTTTGTCATGAAAGGCCCAGGTTTTAGTCAGCTGGACTATTCTCTCTATTCTTTGCTGCACACATATTGCACCTGGGACTGGAGTATGAGCCACAAACACTTGCAACCCTTCTAAAAATATTCAATGATATCTGTATCTGTGCAATGATATATAACAAGCATTAAGTATAATTATTAAGCTAAGCAACTCATCAAATAACTGTACCCTCACCAATTATGTGCAGTGCAACACACACTGATGACAGAGACAAGAGGTAACTGTACCACCACTCTTAGAGTCAATAAAGTGGATTAAGTAGTCACACCAGTCATAGCTAAACTCCTTGACCAAATTATTGACAGTTTGGCTCAGGCTCACAAGGAAGTAAAGGCCTAGGCCATGACCAGGTCAAGGACTTTGCTAGTTGCAACCTATTCTTTGAAAACCCACATAGAACAGAGAGACACAAAGAGCTTTGATGCATAAGAGTTGGGAACACCAGCAAACACCAGCCAACATCAATAGCAGGTAGTTCTTCCAGAACTAATGAGTAAGGAATAAATTAACTTGTGGGTGCAAGGAATTTCATAGAAATTCCATGGCATTTCATTTGACTGCAAGCCAACCACTTTATTCCACAAATATGAAAGCCCATGCAAGCTTTTTTTTGATCTCTCCCAGCTGCAGGGTTGTAACCTGTCCTTGAGCTGGATCACCTCTAAGTTTCTCCTCGAGGAGAAACTTAGATCTCAGGTGAGTGATATTGTGCATAACTTTGTATCATAGAGCATTAAGATAATGTATTCATACTTTTGAATTATTATTATTGTTGTTACTGTATCTGTACAGTAGGATTAAACCTGACCAGGGTACTTTCTTAAGCCTCACTTTTATATTAAGCCTCACTTTTACATAATTTTACTTCAATAAAATCACTTTTCCAGCTATCTGTGCCAGTGGTTCTTTAAGTGGTCTAAATCTCCTCTACAAGTCTAAGTGAGGCACTCACAGTAGCTCTAAAATATTTCTTATTCATTGCTAAAAGCTCCCTTTAATAGAGTCAAAACCCTATAAACATATGCATTTCAGTGCCAGCCACTGTGGTCACAGCTATTTCGTACCTCTGCAGAACACAGTTCAGCAAACAGAAGATTCTAAGAACTGAAAGGACAAAAGTCCAGCTGCAGGCCAGCAAAATTTTGCTCTCCTGCGTCTGCTTCTGGACTTGTAGTGGCATGTCTCATTTTACCTAAAGTATTTAAGTCTAATTCAGCACGTCTGATTTATGGTATTATAGAAAAACAGTCTGAATCAACTAAACACACACAAAGAAAGGAGTACATAAACATCCATAATTCTCATTTTCCTCTCTTTATAACTGTATTTTAGATACATTTTAGATGTCAGAACAGCACTAGCACACAGGAGTTTTCCTGCCCCAAAATTCTTTGCAGTTGCATAGGAGGTAATTTGTTGGAAATTGCCTTAATCTCAGATTGCCAATCAATCACAGAATGTTTACAGTAAACTTATGTACATGTAGACTACTAGTCACTTCTCTTTGCAAATTCCCATTCCATCACTTCCAACAATATATTTCCCCCTTTTACCTATTGACTTCTGACAAATCCTGATGGGATTCATCCACTAGTCTTTAAAGAGCTGCCGATGTCATCGCAAAGTCTCTCGTGATGGTTTTTGAGTGATCTTGGGAGTCTGGAGAAGTCCCAGCTGACTGGAAGCTGGTGAACGTTGCCCCAGTTTTCAAGAAGAGGAAGAAGGGGGACCCTGAAAAGTAGAGGCCTGTCAGTGTCACTTCAGTGTCTGGTAAAATCATGGAAAACATTTTTCTGAAAGGTACTGAAAAACACTGAGGACAACAATCATCAGTCACAGCCAGCACGGCTTCATGAGGTGAAAGTCAGCTTGTCACACCTGACTTTCTTCTACAACAGGGTAACCCACCTAGCTGATCTAGGAAAGCCAGTACATTAATCTTTTTGGACTTCAGTAAAATGTTTATAGGATGGTTATGTTTTACTCCTGTAGCCTTCATGTTGCATCAGGCTGTCCTTCCCAGCCTTCCTTTACATTGTCCCCTCCCAACACCAGGACTCGTAATGTGATTTTATTCAGTGTTATCCCATACTGAATAAACAGTATTTCTCAGTTTGCTAGTGGGGTTTTTTGTTTGGAGACAAAGTGAATACACTTAATTCCCACAGTCTTTAAAAGCTGAGGTGCTCAGGTGGAGCTTTCTCTTGCCTTCGGCATGCCTTCTGGCTCCACTGGCAACAGTGGCAACTTGAGAAGCTGCATTTCCCAATCAAAAACTATTTCAGAGTGAATTTTCCAACACCTGCCTGCAGCCACACTGTTGAGCCCAGAAAAGCAGAGCAGCCCAGCTCCCTGTGTGTGGCAGGACGTCCCTCCTTACCACAGATGGCTGGTGCACATGGAAGAGATAACCCAGGCACGGTCAAAGACCTGGCAGGAGGTCATTGCTGGTGCCAGAAGGGCTGAGACCCCCCAACTAAGAATCAACATCTTGGTCTGGAGAGATGATGTGGGAAGAGATTAAGAGAAGTAAATGTCATTGACCAAAAGACACTGCTCTTTACAACTATAAAAGCCACACAAATTATTACGGAGATGGAAACCTCTCACACACTCCCTGGAAATGTGTAGGGTGGCTTCTCCTATGAAGCTTGGATGCATCTTTGTAGATACTTTTCCGGAAATTGAGAGGAAAGATTTGATGTAAGAATCAATGTATCTTACCATCCAATGCATCAGCAATTGGATGGTAAAATACATTGAATCCTAATCTATATTATTTCTTCGCTAGCTGTAATATAGGTACCTCAACCACACAGTATTGTCTATCCACTAGTAGTGTCTCTTTGTTTATCCTGTGTGGTAAGAAGTCTGGTTTAAGTCTTACGTCTGTTTTCCTTGGTCTATTCAATAAATCATTCATTTTGTAATAGACCTAATCGGCCGTTTTTAAGAACTTGCGAAACAAGAGTGAGTTTTGGGGTGTTGGCCACCTCAATTAAGTTACTGTCTACTGTCAAGGGCCTGGGCAGAGGCAGGGCCTGGTTTAAACTCCCCTCTCCATGCTAACAGCATGGTGACCCCAGCCCACCGGCAGTGCCTGGCTGGGGCCAGAGGCTCCGAGTCACACCAGCCCAGAGGCTCTGCCTTGCTGTCTTCTGCCGAGGGGAAGGCAAAGTCCCTCCACAAGTTCTAGCCCTTGACCGAGTACCAGCCACCAGAGAGATAAAGGGAGAGAAGGGGGCTGCTGCCATTTTCCCTTTGTCTGCTCCATGGCAGGCACCATCTTGGGGAAGCCATCACTCTGACATTTTGAGCTTCTCTTTGTTCCCTGGGAGATTTCAGCAACTTCCAAAAAAACTGGTGCTCTTACTGATATGTTTTGCCTATTGCTATTTTGGAGTTTTTTTAGTAAACTGTTATTTTTCCACTTATATCTCCTCTACCTGTTTCTCCTTATTGGTGTAAAGGGATTGTTTAAAACTAAGGGGAAGTAACTCATTTTAGAATGTTCCCCTAAATTGTCTTAAATCAAGGTTGGTCAAGCAGGATCTGCCTTTCATAAGCTCATGCTGGCTGGGTCTAATTCCCTGGTTGTCCTATAGGTGCCGTGTGATGTCATTCAAGATGATCTGCTCCATGACCTGCCTCAGTACAAAAGGCTGCAACTGGTATTACAGTGCACTATTTACTAAATTGGGATTTTGAAAACTAGCTTAATAATTGTCAAGAAGAGATTGGTTTTGGTCACCCACACTCATGACCATGGGCAAATCTCTTTCACTCAGCCTCAAGGAGTTACCACAAGAAGCATCCCCACTTCAAGGAAGAATCTCCACACATTCTCCTAAAAAGAATGTGTTAGAAATCCCTACCACAAAAAAGAGCTTGGGTTTTTATACGATAACGTGATTGACTGTCATGACCTACATTGCTAGGCTAGCTCAGCAGAACATAATTCATTTAAAATACATTATTAGTACTACCACTCATGGGTTCCTTTTATCAGGAAACATCTGTCTTCTACATCCATGCCAGTGCCAGTTCCTATCAGGAAACACCAGTTTCTTAACATCCTCATATTGTTGAATTTTGAGGTGTTTCAGTCAGGCTGATATCAGCATTCTTGAACATCAAAAACAACATGGCCACCCTCCCTCCATCACTGGGTGATTTTTGCAAGTAGGGTGCAGTTCAAGCTGTTTCACCCCCACTTAAACAAAAAGAACAACTTGTTATGCTCAAAAATTTTCAATTTTAGTATTTATGTCAAAAAGCTTTGAAATTCCATTTCAATAAGGATGTTTGATGCAGGACTACAGCTGCAATTTCTACTTATTATACTTCATGGTAACAACAGCAAAATGCTGAAGTACTAAGGCCTGAACAACGACCTTGGGCCAAAGTTGACCTCTAGGTAAACCTTCCAACCAAATGTTGTATCTGCTCATTGGCAAAACATGGTTTCAGTATTTAGAACCCAGGCAAGGCCAAATCTAGCCTTGGTTGGGAGTACAGGATCAAAGACAACTCCCTTGGTTTGTCCTTGAGTGCTGGCCAGGCTTTGGAAGAAACCCAGCAGGAGAAAGAAACCAGACGTTCCTCTACCAGAAGCTATGGTAGCTTGTTTATTTAACAGAATAAAAATGGGACTCTCACAGCTAAGTCGGAAGCCTCATTTCCTCTGGGTGGAAACACCTGCAGGTTTTCCCAGTGACCGGGAGTGGCTCTCCAGTCCTTTGCTGTGACAGTAGCTTCCCCCAGCTGACGCTTATCCTATCTTATATTTTTGTAATTCTTTGCAGTTTCATATATTAAACTACCCTCATTCCTTAAGTTGGTGTGTCTTTTCTGACCCTGCCCATGGCAAAACAAATTTAGAAAAACAACAAAATGAGCATCAATCTCTGACTGTGCCTTAAATATTAGTGGGAACTCAGAAATTCTGCAGTTGAGATATTACAATTTTGTAATTGAATTTCAGGACTTTTTCAGGGGATAGTACAAAAATCAAGGAAAAAGCATGCCATGGCATCTGGCAATGGTCCCAATCCACTGTCCTAAAGCTACTAATTGCACCCAGCAACACTGTCATAAGTGTCATGGGAACCGTGGTCATAGTCAATGGACTATGAAGAATAAAGAAGTCATTCTTCTCACCACAAATGAGCTAATGGAGATAAACACCATTCCACATATCAACAACCAGAAGCACTAGATACAGAAAAATTGGAATTAGCCATAAGCAACATCTCTTCTGCAAGCACTATAGACACATCAGGCATTTGGAGGAACCATACTTTACAAGGAATTTTAACATTCTAGTTCTCCATGGTACCAAGCAACACACCAACACCAGCAAAAGTGATGCCATTGTTCAGAAGAAAATTAAAACTTCAAGATTGTATTTGATTGCTTCATTGTATCAACCAAGCATTTATTGCTTTTGAATAATAGCTGTAAGCCTGAGAAAGCAATTTTCAACAGAAAAGATTTGTGGGGAAAAGGCATTAATAACAGGGACTGCATTCATTAGACAAATTGACATCACTGAATATTCCATTCAGAATCCTACAGGTGAAAGCTTTTCTAATGGCAGCATCAGACTCCTTTATACAGGAATATCCTTGCCTCTGCAGAAAAGTTCATGTATATAACTGAAACACTGTACTTATAGCTGTATTATCTATAGCTCATGCTTTTCTAGTTGTGAACATTACTATGATGGAAGAAGGTCAGCTAAAGATGAAACAGAGTCCTAAGCTGCCATTTCTTGGATGGAACAACACTTTTAGAAAATACCTACCCCTACATTTCAACTGCAAATTTCTATTTACCATCACACTGGTCTGCCAGTGGGCATGGTCAGCACAAAAGACACAAAACACCAACTTTAAGAAATAAGTGTAATTTACTCTAGTTTAAAACAGCAAAGAATTACAAAAAGATAAGCTAAGCAATGCACGCAATCGCTACTACAGAAGATTGCCTGTAGTAATTAAGAAAGGTACCTCACCTAATATTTTATTATCATCCAGATCTGCACTTCAGCTGGGGAGCTCCAGCCACAGCGAAGGACTGGAGAGCCACTCCTGGTAACTGGGAAATTCTTCAGGCACATCCACCCGCAGGCCAGCTCTCCGTCTTCGCTGTGAGAGGGTCCAGCTTTTATGCCGGTGAATAAACAAGCTTCCATACGTTCTCTGCAGGAACATCTGGTTTCATTCTCCTCCCGGGTTCCACCCAAAGCCTGGCCAGGGCTCAAGGAGGAACCAAGGGATTTGACTTTGACCATGTACCTCCAAACAAGGCCAGGTATCGGATTTCATGGCCCTGACTGGCCTCTAAACACAGGAAGAAATACATTGTTATCCCACTACATGTTTCACTAATGATCCTGCATCTTTCAGTAATAAGCAGATACAAATATTATACAATGTTTGGTTGGAAGGTTCATTGATAGTCACCTTCAGCTCAGGGCCTGTTGTTCAGGCCTCAGTACTGCACAGACACAAGTGAAATGCAGAGAAACCACAAACATGCTTCAGCCTCCGAGGACTTTCCAAATTCCTTTCAAGTTTCAATGCACATTTAAAGCACTGTCTTACCTCCCCAGTAGTTGTAGACATCCCCTTCTAGAAGTATTGTTCCCTAATCATCCAACGCCTAATGACCACTCATTGGAGACGAGCTTGCAAACTATGTACAGGATACTGACTGAAGTGCAAATTAAGTTAACTGAATTTCAGTCATTGAAATCTTTCACAAGCACATACCAGAACAGCTCTTTGGCATATTTGCATTTTATTGAGACCATTTATATCCAGCATGAAGGCATAGCACTACCTTCCAGGTCACAGGAGTATTTTTAAAAAGTCTTTTTAAAAATCTTCTGATTGGTGAAGTTTCCTGCCTGCTATAGGTTATAATATCAATCCTTCCATTAAATTAGCTTCCTTGAAATTCCTCCAAGTATAAATTCATACAGGATTTTTACTCTACATTTCCACTGCCCTATGCAGTTTTGAAGCTCCTGAGAACTTGAATTGCTTGTGCTTTATCAAGAAGACAAATAATAGTCAGCAACATGATAGTAGTGTCTAGCAAATGTGTGAAAAAATAAAAATCCATTCCCTGTCAGCAATGAGAAATTACTACAGTTCTTTGAAAAACTGCGTGTAACAGTATTGAATATGGGTTAGAAATGCTTTGAGTAACAAAGACAGGTTGCTAAGTTTGTATTTTCCTTAACCATATTTTCTTCTCCATTTCTACCTCTTCAGTTGCACTGATGCTGCCACTTGTGATGCTTCAGGATGAACCAAACTAGACAATAAAATGGCATCCACAATTTCACTTTAAAAAGGAAAAAAAAGATCACTTCAGCAATCTCGTGTGTCTCTTCAGACAGGTGTGGAGCTCTCACTGCAGGAACAGGAGCTCCTCACTGGTCTTGGCTCCTAGAAGGGACAACAGTCACTAAGCTTCAAGTGCTGCTTTTACCAAAGGAGCAATGACCCATACCAACAATACCACCAGAGTCTCCTATGTCCTGATGACCAGTGATCTATCAAAAGATCCCCTGGCAGATTTGGTACTCCAATTTCCTGTGCAGCACCAGTCTCCTTTCATCAGTGCACTTTAACAGTTTAAAAAGGCAAAGATTAGCATTACCTAATGCTAAAAACCATCATGGGTATTTTCACTATTTCTCCTTGATTTAATTTTTTCTTTCCTTTTAAGTCACCAGCAGGCTCTAAGGTTTTTCACAAGCTCTCATAGCTATGCTTAGCAAAGCAGGAGCTCCTCTAGGAATCAAGAGAATTGAACTGCACCTTCTTGGGTTTCTGCTCCCTCTTTTACTCCTTCTGCTGTGTCTTCATCCATGCCTTTTAATTTATGGGGTGGGGAGTACTGCACTGCCTCTGACAACTGTTAGTCTTCAACACAAACAAGAAAGGCTCAACATCAAACTAACAGGTTAATTATTACAAGACCACAAATGCTATGACAGTCTCACATCACATCCCTAACCCACTGATATGTTGTTCATGGATGCAGCAAATGAAACCGAACAAAAAAATGCAAATAAAACAGTTGGGAAAGGCTGATTTGTGTAAATTTTAGAAATACATAAAAATATTCTCCTACCGAAACACCTTAGCCTGCAGAAAACAATCCAAGTCAGTAATTTGTTGGCTTCTAAGGAGTGTGTTTGAGGGACAGCATCCTGCAAATCAGAGTATTTTACTGATTTACAACTATTTTTTTGAAGATTAGTAGGAAGGGAGAAGAGCAAAAAAAAAAAAAGTGTGTTTTAAATAGAAATCAGAACCATAACAATAAAAATAAAACTTCTAAAAATTCTAGCAGACCAATGAACTGGAAAAAGTTTTAGCTTTTATTTAGAAGGAAACCAAAACACTCCACAAGAGAGTTGACATAAAGCATTCTGTAATTTATTTTTTTTTGTCTTCTGCCAAGACATCAGACAATATATTATTTTCTGGGGAAAAAATACTGTTTAAGCTTAAACTACAAAGAGAGATGGATTCTTGAACTCTGCCTCCCAACTCACTACAGTGAGCCACACAAACACACTGAACTAATGGGTCCTAGTAAACATCTTGGGAATCACAGCAGTAAATTTTCCAAGATCTTGCACCTTGAGACCCAAGGGAACTTTTATGCTAGCACAGGCATCAAGAGTAAAGGATTTAATTTTGTGGACAGCAATATAAAAGCAATCATTATCACAACTCTGTTTTCTCTGCCAGGAATATCTGTTTGAATGTTTTGGAACATCAGTTGGCCAGTTCAAGGGAACAAGGTGATAAGAGCCCAGTTAGGAGTTTTTGGTGTTTGTAACAAGTTTTACTCCCATCATTCTCAGATTAATATTTTCTCAGGAGAAAATATTTACCAGGAGTCATGATGAGTTGGGTTTGTTTTATTCTATTTTTAAGTTCCCCCAGGAGGCTAGTTAAGAGCAGGGAAATGCCCAAAGTTACCACGAAGCTCCTAGAAAGAGTTGAGTCAGCCTCTAACAACTTCTAGGAAAACAACTGCCAGCATTCCTATGGGCTTCTGAAACACATCCAGTGCTCCAGCAGAAAATCTACTCATGTTCTACCTGATGCCTCTGGCTTTCATCCATGCCACGGACAAGCAAAGCACTGGAAGAAAGTTGCTACACACTGATGAGGTACTCACACTTTTTTCTCACATTTCCATCTGCCTCTGCAGATGGAATAAATAAGTTAATTCTATCAGCTACACTACTCGGACAACCCAAAGCAGAAACAGCGAGCCTACACCTCTTTAAATACGTTCTGGGGTTTTTTTTTTCTTTAATAGTATAAACAGTTTTATCAGTAATACCATAACACACGACTGCAGGTGTCCCTCTTACACAAAGCAGAGCTCCGGCTCCTTACCGCACAGCTTGTGATGTCTATCTGAGAGGCTGAAGCAAAAAAAATCACTAACGCTGGACTTTCACGGCAGAATTTAAACAGCCAGTCTTCAACCCTGACAGCGATTACATTCTCTTTTCAGTTTTGTTTCGTGGGGTGGGGGCCAGAGGGTGAGAACACACAAGAATTGGAAAATGTTGTTGTTCTGGGTGTTTTTATTCTCTTTCAACCGCATCTCCCTGCATTGTCGTACCCTACGGAGAAATATTGCAAACAAACCTCTGCGTCCTTAAGGTGATCGGGCCGAGGGATGCGTTCCGGAGCCTGCGCATCGCATTGTCCTTGTTCAGACACTCGCAGCACTCTAATTGATGGGAATTGGTTCTGCGAGACGAGCAGCGGACAAGCTGCCGGGCCCGGCCGGGCCCCCGCTCCCGGGGAGCGGCTCCTGGCAGCCCCGCGGCCGGAGGGGAAGGGAGGACAGGACGGCACGGCCCCGCCGCCCCCCGCCCGCTCCCTCCCTCCCTTCTCGCCGCCGCAGCGCACGTCCTCACCGAGCCCAGCCAGGGAGTCGTCCGCAGCCCCGACTGTCGGCCCCGCTGGGAGACGGAAGGAGACCCCGGCTCCGGACAGCGGGGCGGGAGCTCCGGGGCGGGAGCTCCGGGGCGGCGCCGGGGCGGGGGCGGCGCGTCCTGCCCGCCCGGCGCGGGGTGCGGGGCTGGGGCCGCCGGCGGAGGAGAGCGCGGAGCCCCGGGGCTCGCCCGCGGGCAGCGGCGATAGATTGAGCCTCCTGCTCCTCAGATCCCTCCAGGCTAAGCCCCTCCTCCCTGCCCCTTTCCCTGCCTCCCTTCCTGCCTTCTCGGCTCTCCAGAGAACTCCCACAGCTCCCTGCTCCAAGCGCGTCACGTTGAGACTTAAGACGCGCTTTAAGAAAAATAGAGTGGTCCTTTCACATTCCCCCACGGACTGAGGACCAATTGAGACTTCAGCTAGAAGAAGTGTTATAAATATTCTGATAAAAGAATCGATTTAATAATGTAAAAAGGCAGTTATGATTATGTAATAAATAGGTGTGATTCGTGCTGATAAAATTGAAACAGTAATCAATATTGATACATTAATATTTGGAAATAATAAAACAGTTAAAGGTGTAATGCCAAGAAAGAAAGGGAAAGAAGGGGCTCCCCCCCTCTTCTCCTGCAGATGTTCAGAACAGGAAGAAGCAAGAGATAACTTTTACTAAATTTAGTTGGAAGATAGGAAAATTTGGTAGGACACCAGGAAAATGCTACTTATATGAGATTGATTGCTTTAATGCTAGAACATAATATTGGCTCTATACTGTTATAAATAAGAAGCTTGACTAGGCTAATATTCAAGCAAAAATTAATTTATTAATTAATATGGTAAAGTATGAGTAAAACAGCGCTGGGTACAGTGGGGGAAGTTTTCCCTCTAATTGCACACCGATGGTTGAGGCCGACAGGTATTTATAGGGGTACACACAGCTTTCTCAGCAGTTTTGATTCTCAGCAGTTTTTATTCCTAATTTTTACATCACAATTCTATACACTATTGTGAGTTAGTTTTTCTCAGGATGTACCCCAGAAAGGAGTATCCCCAGATGGTGGGGTTCGACTTCTCAAAGAAGAAAGAGGTCTTCCAGCTGCTGTGGTCCAAACTCCAGATGTGTGTCTACCTTTTATTTGCAAAGACTATAAATCTCATGATGGTGATGCCTAGCTTCCCTTGGTCAGCTTCCCTTGGTTGAAGCTATCAATCCTTGAGTTGATGTTCAACTTCCTTTCTCAAGCTGCTTTTTACTGTTTTGCTAAGGTGTTGAGATAAGCATATTTCCTTTACATACATTCTAAACCTATATTTTTAAAGCTCCTTATTACAAGCAATATTCTAAAATTATATTTCAAAAGGTTATTACTGCAAAGCTGTTTAAATGCTTAGCTACGTGCAGAAAGTTCCTGTCCAGCAGCAACATTCTTAAAGCTTTAATTCAGATGTTATTTGCAAACAAAGGATAAGTTCCAAGGCCTTTTTCCATGCTTTATTCCCACAGTAATTTTTTTAGAATTCATCTTTTAATTGTTCCATGATCAGTTTCCACACAAATCACAATCACAAGTACACACACTACCTGTATGTACCTGACACGAAACACAACTTTGTATCTCACAAATACTATACCACCTTGGTGCGTATGTGTAATCCAAAAGGTGAACTGCAGGACACCGAGGAAGAGGAGAGGCCTTCCTCAAAGAAGACCCCCAAAGAGTGGCGCGACCCCCTAAAAGAATGGTGGAGCACGCGTGGTAAAGGTGATGATGAGGGTGGTGACACAAGTGTGACGGATCGAAAATGGGAGGAGATGGTAATGACAGACAGCATAAAAAGGGAATTTTGCGTTGACAAGCTGGTTCGTGAGGTGACGGGAGTCAAGCCCTGCCCTCCGTACCCTACGCAGTTATTTCTGCTTATGCACTATTATCCATAGAACCAAATTATTCTTTATTCTAGCCAAATTATATTGTCAATATGTCAAGTGTATTCAACTTTATATATTTTAAGCTACTTAATTAAAATGGCTGTTGCATTTAATTTTGTTTGGTTTGTTTTTTATTGGATAATTGGGCAAATATAACAATTACAAGTAGAAAATTGTGAAGTATAAGGTATAGGAATGTCAGGAGTGCTGTTTTTAAAATATGCAGCAGAAACCTTGCCAAGAAGCTAATGAATGTCATATGTTTTGTTCAAGAAACTGCAGACCCTCCCGCAGAGCAGCTATGCTGCTTGGAAACCCCCTACCCTTCCCCCACCTTGATTGGAATAGCAAGGATTCCAATCAGTAGAGCTCAGTAGAGATGCCCCAATTGCCTTAAAGTAGGAATATTGGTGAAGTTACTTAACTAGCAAAACGAGAACAGCATATTATGCATAAAATGTAAAAGAACTTATGTAACGATGACTCAGCAGAAAAGTATATCAAATAGATGGATTTTGTTTACTAAGGAGAACATGCTAGGAGGAGTAATTCCCTGTTTTCCTGGCACCAAAATAAAGAAGCATCTGCTTATTGACATTGTGTGGAAAAGTCAGTGTCTGTAAAGGAGAGAGAGGCATCCAGCAAATTCCAGTACAGGGAGAGAGTACACTGGGCAATACCCCCGTGAAGTGTCTCTTGAGGTTTTGGAGGGACAGCCTCCTTTTGTCCTAAACTCCTGACCAGAGGTTGCCATGTTCCTTTCCCCATTGGCTGAGGTACTAGGAAAGCATGGACTTCCTGAGCCACTTACTACAAATTCCTTCTTGTGCATGCGTGGTCATTTTGCCCTCAAGTTCAGAAGTTCAGGCTTTCTGAGTTCCGCAGTAGACTTTGTGCAGACCCCTTTCTCCTATTACTTTCAAGCTCAGAAAATCAAACTCTCTGGGTCCAGCTGTCTGGGTTCTGTAACTTGCTCGGCTTGATGTTCATAAAGACATGAAGACCCATTTCCTCTAAAGGCCCTCACATCCATTCTTCTAGAACCTGACTGGCTCTTTCAGTCATTCCTGGAGACAATAACACTATTTCTCCTATCACTAGTGAAGACCCCCACCCATCGAGTTCTTTGTGAAAATATTAGCATATATTTTTCCTATCAACATAAAATTGATGTTGGATAAGTTTCTTTCATGCCATTGCTCATACAACTGGAGACTAATAAAAATTCACTGGAGTTATCCCAGTGCATCCTGCACCATCATGAGGTAATGCCTGCTTCTTAAAACTGCATTGGTGTTAGGGAGTTTTATTCCTGCATTTTGGTGACAACTCAGCAATGCTGAAGTCTGACATTCTGAGGATGTGAAGAACAATGGCACAGGTGAGGATGTGGCAGAAAAATTTCCTTATAAACCAACAAGTGATACTACAGATAAGGTCTCTAAAGTTGCTGGGCTGACGCAGCTGGCCTATAACTGGCAGTCAATAACTTCATCATGTGAAAGCCTGGTCCTTTTTTTTTTTAAAGAAATTTTCTGTCATAGTCTTGAAGTATTAGAAAGCAGGCATTCCTTATTGCATTGCTGGTCACCTGGAGGATATTTCCTCTAATTAGGTGTGTCATGACACTTTACAACAAAGCATGTATTCCACCATGCTCATATGTATGGATTACAGTGTACTTTCTGGCCAAGGCATAAACATCACTTTTCCTAGAACTAATTTCCATGGATCTGCCTCTTACTGGAAGTCCTCTTATGATTGTGGAGAGTTACCTGAAAGGGTTTCTGGTGGTCCTACTCACCAAGTGCCCACAGTGTTACAGGTGACCGTGTCCTGACCTTCTTTTAGGGCATGTGCCGTTGCTTCTTTTTACATGGCTGCACCACAAAAGCCACTATATCCCTCATTATGTGTTTATCCATTGGTTCCAGCTAAATTTAGTGTCTTATGTGTATACTTTTACATTCTGTTATCTGCTTCTTTGAAATACACTGTTCCTTTCTTTGGACTAGTAAAGCATTGTTATGTCCTGTTCCTGGCTAGGCCTATGCAGAAGCCTGGGCACCAAGGAGTTCATGTTCTGCTGTGCCTGAAATAGTAGTACCCACTATAGTGCAAGTGGACAAAGTAGAACAGGGTGTGGCAGGAGAGGAAATCTGCATGTAGGAGGAGCAGCATCTTTCTGGGGCCCACTTCCCTGTTCTGAGACTTCACACAAAAAAGACAGTGCAAGCGCTGAGATGAGGTTAAGAAGCAGGCATGAGCTGTTGACCAAAGCATTGAGACCACCAACCACCCCCAAAATCTCACAACCCACTCTAGAGATATCCTACGGAGAGATCTAGGCTGACTGGAGAGCTTTGGCAATCATCCAACTCTATGAATATATCAAGAGCAACTGCTGGATTCATCACCTGGGATAAGGTAATCCTGGTTATATGTGGGAAATTGGGGACTGTGAGGAGTTAAAAAGCACAGTTGCTTATCTGAAACACTGTTAAGTCTAGGGAAGGACTTGCAATAAGATAAACACAAAGAGAAGGAATTTGCAACAGGAAGGCTCCCATTCCAGGCCTGGTGGAGGCTTTATCTGGTTAGAACATCCTGGTCAATGCATCCAGACAAAAAATTCCTGCTGTGGCAAGCTGTGTGAAAGAAAGCAACTACTCATATACATACCACTGGTCAAACAAAGATCACCCTGTTATGGACAGGCAGTACCTGAGACCAACAGAAGTCCCTCAAAACCTTGGAGGAAGCATTCTCAGAAAGAGGACCTTGCCTACCCTCACTTTTGCATGCCATTAAGACACACCCAACCTCATTCACGTGTAAATTAGGAACACCCTTCCATCCATACTCAGAACTTGGACTGTATAAAGGTGGGACCTCCAAAGGAACAAGTATCACCCCGCCACTGAGAAGCCTGTCGTGAGGAAGGACCAATGGGACAACCTTGGCTCTATGGATGGTGGATCTGCTTGATATCTCTCTCTCTCCTCCTCTCTCTTCTCTGTTTTCTAGTTCTTTTTCTATCTCCCTACCTCATGTTTGTTGTTAAATAAAGTCCATGTAGTTGACTCCAGCATATGGTCCCATTTGCACCTTTATTCAGGCAGAGTCACCTGTCACTAGTAAAAGGGATGCAAGGCTGAAGAACAGGCTCATGAGAAGAGATCTGGTGATTTGGAATGATGGCAAGTTGAGTATAAGTCAACAGTGTTCCCAGGCAGCCAAAAGGGCCAAACACATCCTGGGGTGGATATCAAGCACAGCACTTTGAGCTGTTTGAGGGAGGTGATTGTCCTGCTCTACTCTGTACTGGTGGGACCTCACCTCTGTAGGGAGAGTTGTGTGTGAGTTTTAGGCACCTCAATATAAGAATAACACCAAATTACTAGAGAGTGACCAGGATGGTGAATGGCCTCAACTGTAACCTTTGTGAAGAGTGGCAGAGGCCACTTGATTTCTTCAGCATGGAGAAGAGAAGACTGAGGAGTGTCCCCATGGCAGCCTACAACTTCCTTGAGGGGGATATAATGAATAAGTATTTTGGCTGCTTAAAGAATCATCATCATCAAAGTTATTAGTGAAGGAGGTTTTAATATATATTTGTGAAAGTGTGGCTTTCACACTGAAAGAGTTCAGTGGCAAAGTTTACTACCGCATAGAATAAAGCACATAAAGAAAAACTGGATCAGAAAATGTTTAAAATAATTTTCACAGACACTGGGTTACAAAAGGATGAGAGTGCTAAAGGGTAAAGGAGACATTCCCATTGAGTCTCCATATTCAGAATGCATCCCCTTGCCAAACTTAGCCTCAGGTTTGCTCAAGAGTTTTGTGTCTAAAGGATTTAGAAGCACTTAATCATTATTTTAACACTTACAAAATTATTCAATAGTTTGCCATAAACAAAGTAACTGAACTATAAATCTAAGTTGGCAATATTCATACAATACTTGCTCTAGGGTATCTAAAGCCATTCAGACACTCAGACACACAGAGAGAAGGCAACATGTACAAAGGTACTTATTAAAATTCCCCTCATGCCGAGGTCAGTGAAATACTCATGTGGAATGCCTTTGCATCTCTCAGCAGGCTGAGCCTTGAAGAGTGGTGTATCAACACAGGCCCCCTTGTCAGCTTTCAGAGATGGTCCTCCAACTATCAGTGTGAGAGCTGGCAGCTCTGAGAGGTGTCCCACTGGAGTCAGAGGCTTGGACACAAAGCCTGCTGCCATCCAGGAGAGCTCTGAGGGTCTCACTTAAGGCTGCTGCTTACAGGGTTGCAAAATGCTTGGCTTCAGTCATCTGTCAGTCTTCAGGATGATTCAGGCAGGTAATGTTCCAAGGCTGTCAGGACATGGCTGATTGTGTCTTGTCCTTTGTTAGGCAACAGAAGCTTCCCTAAGGACAATGCCTTCCCACCAAAGTCATGCATGAGTTTCTGGTAAGATTGAGGGAAGCTTCAATGGCTTCATGCCTAAATTATGCCTCAAGGCTTAGTCCTAAAGAGTATTGCTGAGATTGTAGACCAGCCTGAGGAGGCATGGAATGCACAACCAAAGGGAGCATTGAAGGAGGAGGTGCTGATCTCCTCTCTCTGGTGACCAGTAATGGGAAATGGAGCAAAGATGTGTGAGGGGAAGTCCAGACCAGACATTAGGGAAAGGTTCTTCACTGAGAGGATGGCCAGTCAATGAACAGGCTTCCCAAGGAATTGCTTGTGGCTCCAAGTCTGTCTGAATTCAGGAAGCACCTGAGCAACACTCTTTGTTATATGGTTTAGTTTCAGAAAGTCCTGTGAGGAGCAGAGAGTTGGACTTGATAATCCTTATGAGTCTCTTCCAGCTTGAGATATACTATGATTATGTCATCTGAAAATCAGTTGCTACAGAGTTGAATATCCTTCTATCCTTAACATGCCAAACAGGTGTCAAGGGCCTGTGCAAATGAGGAATTAAAATTTGTTTCTGAATTAAAACAAACTCAAAATCATGCTACATTTCTATTACCCTTGCACACCCTCACAGCTTCCCATCACAGCAGAGATATCAGGAGTCTGCTGCAGCAG